TGCTCAAAATGTGGTCATAAATATTTTTTACTTGAAAATCAGGATTTGTATGTGTAAAAAAGATTTGTGTGCGTAAAAAAAGATTTGTGTGTGGAAAACGTGCAAGTTACAAGTAAGAATTTTGACCCTATGTTTCTTTCTTTCATCTGATTGGTCAATATCATGTCAATCAGAAATGTAACAATCCAATCAGAGAACAGATGGGTTTGGCCGTCGGAGGGGCGCTTTTTTTGAAGGACGATATTTATTTTATTTATTTATTTTTTAAATAGTTCAGTTGAAGCATGGTTGAAAAGCAATGTCTGACTTTCATTGGTTAACATTTATAGAATTTTTATTTATTATTACTTTTGCCAGATTAAAGTTATTTCTGTGACCATTGTGAGTTTTTCTTTCACTGACTGAGGGGTGCCAACAATTTTGTCCATGTCTATGAACGCCATAAATGTTACAAACACAGACATAAATGTCTGTCCTATTTATAAGAGAAGTCTATCTGACTTCTTACCTCTAGAGGGCCACCAAATATAGCTGTTATATATGTTTGTCTTCTGTGAACAGAAAAAATGTTCTGCCGTTTCTGTCTGACAGACGTCTGCAGAATGTAGACCAACACTCCCTCACGCTTATTTCTTGTAAAACGAAACTTACTGCTTTACTTCTCCTTTTCTGTCTTAGAGTTTATCTTGCAGGTACAGTTGTACTTATACTGCATACTCTCCCACATATCCCATTCAAACGCTCTGTTAGTCTGCAGATTCAATCATTCACTTTTCAATCAACTCACTTTTATACAAGTATAAATAAAAAGGAAATCCTGCAGCAAAGCTCATGTTTGCTTTCACATATTTGTTGCTGTCAGTAAGAGTGAGGAGAGAGTGAGAGTGTCTGCTTTCTTACACTCAGTCAATGGGATTACACAACAGCCTACGAGGGTAAAGAGCAACTATGTGTTTCCTTTTCTGTGCACTGGTTTGAACTAACAACAGTTCAGTGAAAGAAAAATATCCCATTTCAAACCACATTAACATAAACAGTCCACACTCATACAGATTTGACATGGTTGTGTTTAAAGTAGAAAAAGCAAAAACTAAACTGTTTCCTGGCAGCCTGTGAAAAATACTCATTACAGCTTTCATCTATTTTGTTTACACCTCGAGTCATAGATCTTTTAGGTCTTTATTGTTCAAATTATTTCTAAATCTTTACATACTTAAACAAATAATGTTAATCCTTGACAGTTTATCTCTTTGTGCCTGGAGCTGAGCTCAGGTGGTTTGTTTGTGTCTCTGGGACTGCAGCAGCAGGTTTGCAGTGAGAGAGAGAGAGACGGTCATGTTCCACATTTAGCTTTGATTCCTTTTTGTTGAGTTTTGTAGAAAAGAGACTGAACATTCAAACATGTTAAATAAATAAACCTTCAGGACACTGCTGCATCACACCTGCTTATGATGTTGGTCACTGTGCATATTCTGAAGTTTCCTCCATGATTTCTTTGTTTAGTCTTATTTTTATTAATCAAATATGTTGTTTTATTGTTGCTGTGACATTTCTGTTCTTGCATTTTACAGCATTTTAAACTTTGCTACTGTTTCACCTGGTTTCAATGTTAAATACAGTCTAGCTAACATGATGTAGTCCATTTCTACATCTTTTCATCTTAAAAACATCGTTGGAAACATTATTTGGAATTATAAATCTCATTTTATTAGGTTTATTTTGTGTTCACATTGGTGTCTGCAGCATGGTACTGCCTCCAGGCAACAAAACACATATTTGGTTATTACAGTGTGTTGAAATTATTTGTTTGCTTTTCTTTAAGGAACTAAATCTGCATGGGATGTACTGCCAGTCAATAATATCATTTTATACATTTTAAACCTGAAATAAATAAATAAACAAAAATCTGTGCATAAGAACCATACAAATACCTGTTTATTTACAAAAAAGAAGTAATTGTTTTTTGTTTTAATAAACAGTAATTTTTATAAAACGTTATTCTTTAATTTGTTTTGCAGTTAGACATGTATCTGAGAACAATAATGGTTAGCAGTGCTTCTAAATAAACACAGCATCGTGCTGAAAACTCAGAACTAGTTAAGCTGCTTGTTATCAGCAACTTTGTTTAAAATGTTTGTAATGACTGAGAATAAAACAGGACACTCAAACTACAAATCAGTCAGTGCCAACATGTGTTGTTATGAAACATCATAAACTCTCATGGTTTTCTAAGAAATGGTTG